CATTGAAAGCTCCTCTTTGAAATCTTTTAGTTTTGTGCTTGATTCCCCCGTGTATATTGACTATATCCTTAGCATCTCAGCCGAAAAACTTGAAGACATACTTGTTCACTTGGATCTTCGTAACTGTGTCAAGAATTTGGTCAATATTTTTGCTCCAAATCTTAAGTATTTGAAATTGTCAGGGGATGATGTATGGATTGGCCAAAGTTTGGGGAAATCTACGTCTTTAGAAAAAGCCGAGTTTTTTCTGGAATCTAATCGCCGTTGCTTTAAAATATTGTCTGAGGTTCTCTGCAGTATAAACAAGGTTGAAACTCTTGTTCTAAACAGAGAGACCACCATGGTAACTAGACACTACTCTTCAAGATGTTCTTTTTATTTAATGGTTTTTGTTTTTTCAATTTTGTCATGTTTAGGTTATATTCTTTCCCAGCATGGCAATAGGGGTAAGTTAATTTCAGAAAACTGATGGCAATAAGATTTGGTTGTATTTGTTATTAATTTTGGTTATACTGGCTAGAATGAAATTTCATGTTGATGTTTCTTGTTTGTTTTAGAATTGTCAGACTGAAACTTTGTAATAGTACTTTGACAGATCAAGTACTTCAAAAACCATGATAGTTTCAACTTTTAGTTAGTAATGACTATTTCATCGACTTATTTTCTCAAATATATTGCAGGTAGTTCTTTTCTTAATTAATGTTCATAATTCTTGTCTTTCGGTTCCCTTATGTTTATGTTTATAACTTGTAGGCTGTCTTCTATGGAGATTTCATGCCACTGCTATTAGAGAATGTTTGTTATTTGTCTATTCATGTTGGAAGCTTTCGTGATATGCTAGTCCCAGGAATGGTCTCCACTTTTGAAGGAATGTGTAATTTGAGTACTCTGGAAATAAAGTCTGACCCAGAATTCTTTGAACCTAAAACTGATGTAAGTGAAAGTGTTGCCTATTTCTTTCCCCCTCTCTTTCATGATTAGTTCTTTTTGGGTTCGGAAATTTCAGCTGGTTTGCTTGTTGATTGTTGCCTTTCCTGCAGTGTTCTGGGTTTAATATGGGATATTGGAGATTGCAAAACATTTCTTTTATTCATCAACTTAAGGAAGTAACCATAGAGCTTTCCATTGGATCTAATGGAATTCAGTTTGCAAAATATGTGCTCGAGCATGCTCAGAATTTGAAGAAAATGACAGTTTTTCATGCACCTCAGCAGTCGAAAGCTGTAAGGAAGATAACAAAAAGCAAGATTGCTTCCAGTGCCAAACTTGTCTTTTTGGAGGATAGAGAAAGAGGTTGATAATCATAATCTGAACAGCTCACCAGATGAAGGGTCGTCAAGGGTTGTCTCCCCAAACTTCCAGAGAGCTCAATTAGATCAACTGTCTTCTCTATGCTGTTCAATGTTTTGTTTGAATCTGAGTGTACGTGTTATTTTCGTTTAACTCAACTGTGTACTGACTGATAATCCTAGATCATATGTGCTTTTTTTTGAAGTTACATAATTTGGTAGATTACGTGAAGCTTATGGTTTTTGATTTTTTTAGTAGCTGCTTTTTGTTGCTAGCCTGTTTGGCTGTTTCGATTGCCAACCAACTCAGAAATTCTATCCCTGGAAATATGTTAAATCAATTCCATGGACAATCCAATATTAGTGCACATGATGGATTTTCAGGGGATGATAATTTACTTAAGAACAGAGTGAATGGTTTTGATGAATAGTTTGTTCATTTGTAACTTATCTTTTTCTACTTTTTCTAATTTTTTTATAAACTTGTTTTTAACATTTACAATAAAGATTTGTATTGTTATTTATGGATTTTAAAGCATAAATTTTTTTGCAAACTTTAGCATATAAATATTTGTTACATATTAATAGAAAAAAAAAAAAAAGTAAAAGAATGAAAGATTCAAATCTTCAGCTAATAGGAAGAAAATTGAACCAACTTTCTTTTGGTCTGAATAGGATTGGTGAGTTGGTGGTGTCACATGCATTTTCCGAAAATATGAACTTCAATAGAAGGAAACATCAAAGGGCTACACAATAAACCCAAGCGCAAAATCCCTCTTAAATCACCTCGTGCACTCCTTATTCGTGAGTCATAGACGAGTGTCAGACGTGAGATTGGGCGTGTCAAAATCTTTCCCTAAACAAAACCCCACAAAGCCAGCCAAGCACCCTTCTCCAATTTATATAAGACCCAGTTTGGCTGAAGCATCCTCCTGCTAGCTTGAGTAAGGGTGCATCAATGGTGGTAAGTGCTAGTATCAAAGCAACCTACTTGTCTTTATTTAATTCAGTGTACAAATGAATATAATTGATGTTTTAGTATATAATTGAAACCAACTTCTCTTAAAAACACAGCAACACAGAAATAATTAGTCTCATGGAACCCAAGCCTAAGTTACTTGCCACTGCAAGTTGCCAAGGTCAAGGAGTTCAGGCTGAGAGTATGATGTTAGACAGACTTAGTCATCTTCCAGACGAAGTTACCCATCACATTCTTTCCTTCCTTGACCTAACAGATGTAATTCGTGTTGGCTGTGTGTCCAAAAGATGCAGAGAATTTTCTCTCTCACATATCCACCTGCAGTAAGCGGTTGGAGTTGATGAGTTCTTTGGACAGGTTCCTGTTTGATCGCAGGGATAATAAGATAGTGAGCTGTCGTATTAACTGGCTTCTCCATAACTTCGATATTGATAACTGCTTTTGTGATGAGACTTTCCGGGTCATGATGTGGATCTACAATGCTGTAAGATGCAATGTTGAAGAGCTTCATCTAAGCATCTGTGAATATAAAGGGAAACCACTGTTAGCACTTCTGTCTTTCATCTTTCTTTGTGAATCTCTGCGGTCTCTAAAGGTGGACTTTAAGTGTAAGATTCTTAAAGCACCCCCTGCTCGCTTCTTTATCGAATCTCGAAAGCTTGATCCTGGCACATGTTAATGTAGAAGATGAGGGGTTTTTCAAATGGATATTATGTTCCTGCAAATCCCTAAAGCTGTTACATCTTGATAGTTGTGATGGGATGCAAAACATGGCCATTGAAAGCTTGTCTTTGGAAACATTGATTTTTGTGTATCCCGGTTTGAGGATTGGCTGCGAAATTAACATCTCAATCTCAGGAGAGAAACTTGGTAACTTACAACTGTATTGGGGACGTTGGTCTCAGGCCATAAAATTGTTGTATGTCTTTTTGCTCCAAACCTTAAATATATGGTTTGGTGGGGAAATTTGTTGTTTCCCCAGAATCTGAGGAATTCGATGTTTTTAGACAGAGAGAGTTGATCTTCTTCTGTCGCCTGAATCCAGAGTAGATTTTTACTACCTATTTGAGGTTCTATGCAGCATGAGTAGGATTCATTGTCTTATTCTATATGATTGCATATAGTTTTCTCGGTTCAGAAAATGTGGATGCATGTAAAGGCTGGTCATGTCGGCGACATATTATTGCGTATAGTTTTGATTATTGTTCTTGCAGGATTTTTATGTTCTAAAAGAGAGAAATATTTAAATACTAATTATTCACTAAGTAAATAATAATTAAAACATAACTACTAATTAAAGTAATTAAAAGGGAGAGATTCAGACAATCGGCTATACTGTTGAAATATTCTATTTACAGAGTATGGCCTGGGCCGGTCCCTTTTTTTGTTTTGTTTTTTTATAAATCGTATAGCCGGGCGGCTTTACTGGGTCGTTTTTTAAATTCTTTTTTATAAATAGTATAGCCGATCGGCTATACTCCGGATTTTTTTTATTATAAAAAACCAGTATAGCCGGACGCTTTACTGCGTCCTTTTTAAAAAAAAATCTTTTTTATAAATAATATAGCCGAGCGGCTATACTACCTAGATACAGTGATATTTTTTTTTAAAAGGGTATACTAGTGAAATACCCCCTAAACTTGTACCTAATTTTCGATTTGCCCCCTATCCTTTTTTTTATAGAAAATTTAGGAACCGAACTAATTTTTTTCGCCAATGTACCCCCCAACGTCAAAATCTGACACTTTCCATCCATTCTGCCGTTAAATTGAAGGTTAATTTAGTCATTTCGTGTCTCCACTAAACTGAACCCATGCTTCACCTATTAGTTCCTTCGTTTTGGCTCTATTTTTCCCCCAAAAAATTTCCCTCCATTTTCGTACCCTAAACCAGAAGGGGATCTAGGGTTTAGGAGAAAACCCAAAATATTAGGAGATGAGGAGGTCCTTACCTGGCAGAGGTCATGGAGGTCATGGGTCACAGAGGTGGAATGCCGAAGGTGAAGAGGGTAGTTCATGGATGGTGCCTTCAGTCGTTTGCTATTGTGGTAAGACTGCGAAAATCCAAACATCTTAGACTGCTGCACATCCAGGGAGGAGGTTTTACATCTGTGGGAGGGTAAGTTTATAATTGAAATTTGGTTTGCATATTTGAAATTTGGGTTGCTGAGTGGAAATTTGGACTG